AATAGTGCCTTGGCTAAATGGTATGCAATTGTTGGCAAATATTTGCAAGGATAAAAAAGCTTAACGAGCATTGATTCAAATGAGCCAAGGCTTTTTTTTTTTTGAAATATATCTATAAATATATGCATATATGCGCATTTATATATGTCCATAGAAACACTTTAAAATTCGTTTTCTTTATCCTTTTCCTTGGCCAATAACGAAAACCATTTGGTATTTTGTTTATGAAAACAAAGGCTTTTATCTCTTTCTTTCTGATTCGTTGCCTTTGCCTTTTTTTTTTCCATCTATTCCTTCTTTGGCTTAGGCTTAATTTTTGCCAATTCTTCAATTTATGAAAATCAATGAACGGATGGTCTTATGCCATCTTTGACATTTTCTTTTTTTTTTTTCCTCCCCTCCTACACTTCTAAAAGCTCTATGCTTTTTTTTTGCCTCATTTAAAGTTTTCTTTTTTATTCATTCATCTTTCTTTTAGGGGCCTAATTTCTGGCATATATTTATTTCTGTCACACTTCAATAAACTTTATTCCAATGTATGAATTAGAATAATGGAAACTTTTCTTTTTTCAAAAAAAAAAAAAAATTATTTTCCGCATTTTAACTTACAAGAAGTGATGCATTTTTGTGTTAGCAAAGATTTGCTTTTTAAGCTATTTAGACAATTTGGGGACAAGAATGGGAAAAATTTAAGCCCGGAATGAATAAGACCTTAGTTGATAACTATTTTTAGCTCATCATTTAAATATTGCGTAATTTTTAAATTTACAAACATTTCTTTTTCTTCAAATTTAAATAACAAAATTAAACATTTGATAATAATACAGAAATTGTATGCAAATTTGTTAGAGGTAAACTTTTCCTTTTTTTTTCAGTGAATTGTACTGCTGATTGGCGACCATCCGTTTGGGGACAGTGTAGTCGAACATGTGGTGATGGTGGAGTACAGGTAATGTTAGGATTTATTCCCTTTTTTTTTATTTGCAATTAATTTCAAAAAAGAGAAATAATAAAGGTTAATTTTAATATTTTCTGCAAGATTTTTGAAAATTAAAGTTTAATTAAAATGAAAATTTGCTAAATTTCTATAAATGAACAATTTGAATAATTGTATGTTAAAATATATTATTAATTTTAAATTATTTTATAGATGCGTCTATTACGTTGCGTATGGCGTGGAACACGTAAACCAGCTGGTCGTAATTGTCAATCATCATTACGACCAATAGCAATTCGAGCATGTCAAGAAGCTAGCAATTTACCGCCATGTCCACCATCAACAGGTGCTAGCGCTATTGTCGCTGCTGCTCCTAATGCTATAGACATTGCATCTAAGCCTTTTTTACTCAAAGGATTGGAAAATTGGCGTGGCTGGAAGCTTTATGATTGGTCAACTGATAGTAATGGCAATTTTCGACGAAAATTTTGATTCTTTTTTTTCCTTTCTTTTCTTAGAAAATATAAAAGAAGAAAGAAAATTGGAAAGAGAAAGAAGGAAAAAATAGGGAAAAAGGGAATAATAATAGTAATAATAATAATAATCAATAATAAATGATAATT